CCTCAAGCTCTGGTCCTAATGGCACACAGCCTCCCCTACCTCCTCCCTGTCACCTCAGGAAGGCCTTCCCTGGCCACCTGTGACAATACCCAATCTCCCCTCTGCAGGCACTTCCAGCCTGAGCCCTGCTATGAAGATTCCTCTCAGCTCTTGGGGCCACCTCAGATGCTACAGAGCAACCTATTTATCCCGTGTAGTACCTCTCTCTCACTTCAGTGTCAGTGTCACTGGGCCTCGAATGTCCCCAGTGCTACTAACACAGAAGATGCTGACAGCTTGTCACTCTCCCAGTCTCGCAGGGCTACCACTAACCAGCCAACAGGCCACTAGTGCATTAGCCCTGCTAGGGCTTCACCTGGCTCAGGACCTGTCCTCAGAGAGGCCCTCTGGAGCCCCAGACTCAGACCAGGCCTCCCGTCCACATCCTGTTCCTGGCCTTCCAACACGTGCCACAGTGTAACAGGGCAGTTCTGGGCAATTTATTGTTTCAATTCATTGTTTCTGCCTCAGTCCCAGGACCCGGAACACTGGTTGTGAAGAGCAAAGTGTTCTGGGGCTACCTTGGTCTAGCCCAACACTACCCCTTACCAACTGTGTGACCTTGGGCAAGTCCCAGATCTAACACCTGGAACTCTCAGTTCAAGTTCCCAGCCATCAAATTGGCATGAAAAAAACCTCATACTTGGGGTTGAGGGGTGTAGCTCAGTACTAAGTGCACATGCTTAGCATATACGAGACCCTGGGTTCCATCCCCAGCACCAAATGAAAAAAAAAAAAAAAATCATACTTGTTGTAAAGGCAGGTTGTAAGAATTAAAGAAGATAATCCATGTAAAACATTTAGCATAATTCACAGCACTTAAGTGCTCAGTAAGTGACTATAATCGATAGCTAACAATAAATATGTGTCCACAGTTAGGATGAAAGATTCCAAGGTGACACCCAGACCTAGATCTGCAGCCTCACTGGTCCTCAGAGTCAGCAGGGAACCCAGAGTTTTATGGCCAACATGTTTTGGCCATGTTCAGACTCACTGGCATATCACAATCAGTGGTCCAAAGTCCAGTTATTACTAATAAGTAGAGCAGCAGTCTGGGATTTGAGAGCCAGCTCAGGACCCACAACAAATCCTAGTTCTGCCATTTTCTACCTGTAAGACTTGAACAAAGCTTCAAAAATCTCTGTAGGGTTGGGCTGGGGCTAGGGCTCAGTGGCAGAGCGCTTGCCTAGCACAATGTGAGGCACCGGATTCGATCCTCAGCACCCCGTAAAAATTAATGAATGTCTGTGTCCAACTAAAAATATTTTTTAAAACAATTCTCTGTAGGCCTCAACTATGACAACACTGACACCTCATAGGGTTGGTTGGGAGCCGAAAAAAAGAGCAAAAGGGCAGGGTGCCTGGTACAGCCCCAAAGTAACCAATTATCACATAAATCACATAGCAACTTAACTAGCAGCCCATTCATCCTAGGTAATGTTTACATCAGCATCTTACTCCCTGGATTTCCCGCCTGTCTGGGGCTTGAACCCAGGTCCCTGCACATACTTGGCAAGTATTCTACCACTGAGCTATACTACCATCCCTCTGAATTTTTGTATGCTATATCCCCAGTACTTCCAAATTTTTATTTTGAGACAGAGTCTCACTAAGTTGCAGAGGTTGGCCTCAAACTTATGATCCTCCTGCCTCAGCCTCCTGAGTAACTGGGATTACAGGCATGTACCACCATGTCCCACAAAACCAGTGACTTTTAAATGCCTAATCGTGTTTATGTGGTGATATATATACATATATTCTCCACACATACAACCCTCAGTACTGGGAATGAAAGCCAGGGCCTCTCACTTGCTAGGCAAGTGTTCTACCACTGAGCCACACCCCACACTCCCTAACAATCTTTTAAGTCAGGAGCTAAAATACAATGTGGCCTCTCTCAGGTATCTAGCAAAATCTACCTTGCACTGGTGCTGCTTCGGAAAAACTGAGAAAAGGGGGCCATGTTCTCTGCTGGGTAGCAGCTACCTGAAGCAGGAACAAGTCAAGAACAAAGTTTCAGAACAGGCAGAGGCTGCCTTGGAATTTTTCAGAACCACTGTTGAAGGTGCTGGGCCTACAGCACTCAGAAACCTAGGCCGTGTCCTCTAACATCCCATTCCAGTACGCCACACATGCTGCTGCGTTTATTTCACTTCTAAGAGGAGTCCCGCCAGATGCCAACTTCACAGCGTCTGGCAGTCTCAGGACCTACTGCACCTAGCCGTGTACCAATTGGGAGGTGCCAAGCCAGGGCAAAGGGCAAAGCATGCAGAAGTGGGGTGGGGGCTCACCCTGGATGGTCCTCTTGAAGAAAGCTTTGCAGGCCTCACAGGATGCCACACCGTAGTGGTAGCCGGAGGCCACATCCCCACAGACCAGACAGAGGCGTTTGGGCAGGGAGCTGAGCACCAGCTTCCCACTGCCCTGCTCACCAGGCCCAGCCCCCTCCCCATCCTCCTCCTCCTTGTGCCCGGGGAGGCAGCGGGCAGGAGCTGGACCAGGAGCCAGGGTCACGGGGGGTTCAGTCTCAGTCTCCGAAGAACCCTTTGGACTGTCAGGACTGGCTGGCTCTGCCTTGATGTAGAGAGGCTCAATGCCCACCACCTGGCTGGACATGGCGCTGGTCACCTGCAGTGAGAGACCATCAGGTCACAGAGAGGCACCCAGCCACATGAGTTGCCTAACCCTGGGCCTGGGCCAGACTTCCAGGCTCATCCTGGGGAGGGAGGAGGGCAGAGTCCAAGGAAGGGTTACTCATGAAAAGCCCCCCCCCCCCAGCTGTTGCCATGGGAACGGAGTCTCCAGAGCCTCCAGGACCAGTAACTGACAGCAGGTATCCTCTTGGGAACCTGGAAGAGGCTTGGAAAGCCCTACTCCCACCCTAGTCAGGGGGCAGAGGAACCTCAGTCCCCAGGCAACTGTCAACCCCCCTTGGAATCCACAGCCAGAAGAGGGACACCTCCATTCTTAGAGGTCTCCCCTCATATGGCTGCTCTCTCTTTGAGAGAGCACACTGAGGCACACAAGCCCAAAGGCGTGGATATATGTTCACACTCTCACCTGGGTTCTCAGGTGTCACCACATGCCCACACATGCTTTCTCTGCTGGCGACTTTCACACACATGGCCCTTTCCAAACCCCAGCCCTCACTCATTCTCACACTTGTCTCACACTCTTCCCAAAGGACACACTACACAAACTCACACTCAAGCCTGATATCACACATACACACACCAGGTCCCCACAATCACACACGCAGGTACAGATTTGTGAGAAAGAACACCCCTGACACACCGCCCCTTCCTGCCCCAGCATGCCCAGTCCCAGGCTCACAGTCGGGCGCGGCTCCACCCCCTTGCACCCTAGGCCTGCACACTCACTCTCACACTCCAGCTGCCGCAGAGTCCACCACCTTTCGGGCCGCCCCGCCCCCGTAAACCTGCGCACACCTAAGGGAAGTTGCCTAAAGTTGCTAGTCTCCCCTCCCCCTCCGCCCGCGGGGAACGTCTATCAGGTTATCAGGAAGTAAATGAGGAGAGCCGAGGAGGAAGAAGTTCTCCCCCGCCGGTGCGATGACCTTTGACCCAGAGAAGAGGGTGGCCCTAGGCCCCTTCGAGCGCCCCCACGTGGTCTTCAGAGCCCCTTCTCTGACAGAGAACCCTCCCCAGCTTCCACTCAGCGCGCCCCAGGGACTTCGGCATTCTCCAAGTGCCGGACTGAACCCTGCCCTGGGGCTGGATCTGAGGCCCAAGACTGACCGGGCCCAGGACCAGCAGCCCAAATCAGAGACAGACCCTGACTCAAAAGAGCCCACCAGGACCCGAACGCCGGATCCCATCAGACCCTGACCCCAGTCTAGCTCTCGACCAGGTTCCGGTCGTGAACAGGGCCGGCACCGGAGCCGGCACCCGCTGGAGCCCGCCTCCCTGCCGCGCTCGCACATGGCCCCCGCGCCCCGCCCGCCCACCCCCGCAACAGCGCTCCCCTTCGCCCCCGGACCTGGGGCTCCGGCAGGGCGGGCGGGCAGGCATGGGGGCCGAGAGGCCCGGAACGCCGGGGTGAGCCGGGGGCCGCGGGCGGCCACTCCTCCGCCTCCTTCTCGGGCCGCGCCGCCCCGCCGCGCCGCGTCCCCTCACTCGGCGGCGCCGCTGGCTGCTTGTAGGACACAAAAGGACATCGCGGCCGCTTCCTACTCGGCTTCCTCCAGCTGACAGCGGGGGCGGGGCCGGCCGTGCGCATGCAAAACAGGGGGCGGGGCCCGGCGCCCTATGCTAATCAGACAAGTGAGGCGGGCAGCGCCTGCGTACCGGGAGGGGTCGGGGGCGGAGCTGGCGGAGCCAGTAGGCGGGCCTTCACAGAGGTCTCGCCCCACCACCGAACCTCAGCGGCGCACATGCCTACGCGGCCGCCTAGAGGGCGGGTTAGAGATGCGGAGGAACTCCAGGGATTAGAGCACGGTGGGGGTGGGCCTGGAGCGCCCTTTCGTAACGAAGGAGGCGGGGCGCGCTTTGCGCGGAAGGAGTGGGCGAGGTTGATCAGTGGCCACAGCTGCCGTGAGAGACGAAATCCTTATGAAAATGAGAAGGCGGGACGAACGGAGAGGTTGGGGTATCTGCATATGCATGAGGGGTGGAACCTAAAACAGCGACGGGGGCGCTGCCCCTTTTTCTTTTTCCCCTTCCCCCAAGATAACGCCTGCTGGGCACTTGAACCGCAGACTCAATATCCCCACAAAGCTGCGGAACCCAGGGTGGGAGAAGCTGACCTTAAACATGCAAGTATCCCTGGACTACGAGTCCCTGGAAGGCAGGGCCGTTAAGACCCGGACAGAGAAAACTCAAGGTCACTGCGGTGACCGAATGAAGGTCACAGGGAAGGGCGGGGCCACGTGCGTCCGCCTCACGCGGGAAGCCACGCACTGACTCACAAAGCACGTATAGACTCTTTTAATTTCTCTAGGGCTAAAATTCCACGCGGATGGGGTTGGGTCTGGGGACAGGACAGGGCAGGGCAAGGGTTAGAGTCAGGCGGCTGCTGGAGTCGGGAGTTCACTGAAAAGTGCAGTACAGCCTCTTATTCCTGCGCCTCCTGAGCCCCTCGACGTATCGCTGCAGCTCTTTAGTCATGAAATGGTCCCTGCCGATCACGGACCGGTAACCTTGGAGGAGGGCAGAACTGGCTCAGTTCTACGAGCTCCAGCAAGGCCCCCCCACTAGCAGGCGCCTCATGTGTGATTCGAGGAACTGGGAACTTTGGATCTCCCCGGTACTGAGTATTAAGGCTGGAGAATTAGCTGCAGGCCAGAACCAGAACTAGAGAGATGGGAGCCTGCAGCTTGGTGGACACCTGCACCGCCTACTGTAATTAAACGTCTTGACCCTTCTTCCAGCTGCGCATTCATATCATAAACAGGAGAAGTTTACCTAAATAATCCACTGAGTCCTCACAGCTCTCCCACCTGGCAGGGAGCCAGAGTCATAGAAAAGCTGTCATTCTCTTGGCCAGATAGAGAAACTGCCTTGGAAAACCGGACTGCTAAAAAGAGGGCTCCATTAAATGGAGCTCCACTAAATGGTCACCCCATGCCCTCTCCTTGGGTATTCTTGTATCTGGTTTCTCAACTTTTAACTTTTGAAGGGCCCTTCGAGTATTTCTGAGTACTAAGAGGATCTGCCAGTGCATACACATCCTGGAACCCCACTCCCACAGACCTAAACCCTGTAAAATCCACCAGGATCTGTGTGTGTGTGTGTGTGTGTGTGTGTGTGTGTGTGTCTGGAAGTCCTCAGGGGAGGGGAGCTCACTCTTGAGGGCTTTGGTGAGGATTTCCAGAGCTTCATTCTCCATGAGTTCCATCAGGGGCAGCGGAAGCTGGAAAAGCAGTGATAGGCTCAGGCATTCTGAGGACCCCAGTTCTGCCCACAGCTGAAATGCCCCCCATCCCTGCAGCCCCAAGACCCCTGACCAACCTGCCAGCCACCCCCACCCTTTCACTGCTGCAGCCCTCACCTTATCCATCCTCCACCCCATAACACCCTCTACCCCTTTCCCTGGGCCCCTCCAACCCTGTTCTGTTGCTCTGCCCAGTAGGCTCGATGGGGCATGTACTTCGAGATACTGATCGCTGATACTGAGGAAGAGCTTTCTGGGGAAAAAAAAAAAAGAGAGGGCCAATTATCCACAGACTCCTGGGTTTCCCTGGAGCAGAGATGTATGGGTAGGCATGTGGTGAGAGGAAGTGGGGTTCAAAGACCAGCTCCATGGGCTACATTAATTGGCGATAGTATGGGACAATGGTTATATCCTAGGCTTTAAGAATCCCACCCACATGGGTTTCATTCTTACTGCCCCACTCTGTGAGACTTAAAGCCAGTGACTAAACTTTCTGGGCTTCATTTTCTTTATTTGTAAAATGGTGTCATAAGAGTAGACTGCAGGAGTGAGGGTTATGGCTCAGTGGTTGAGTGCTTGCCTAGCATGTGTGAGGCATTGGGTTCCAGTCTCAGCATCACATGTAAATAAATAAAATAAAGGTCCACAACTAAAAAAAAAAGAAGAAGAAGATGAAAAAGAAAAGAGTGGTTTTTAGCCCAACATGGTGGCACTCACTTGTAACACCAGTGACTCAGGAGGCTGAGGCAGAAGGATGGCAAGTTTGAGGCCAGCCTTGGCAATTTAGTGAGACCCTGTCTCAAAATAAAAAATAAAAAGGACTGGGGGTGTAGCTCAGTTTCTAGAGCACCCTGGGTTCAATCCCCAATACTGAAATAAATATAAAAAGCAAGCCTCTATAGAGATCATGAAGTTTAAAGGTGACAATACAAGCAAAGTCCTGTGTTTGGCACAGAGCCAGGACTCAGTATGTATTAATTCTTATGTTATATTCTTGGTTCTAATTCCATGATTAAAGTAGAAAGGGTAAAGTGAAGAGGTGAGAGGCAAATCCCAAATAGTGTCTGGCATGTGCTAGATGCTTAAAATTGTAACCAATGCCCAGACAGAGTGATGTACACCTGTAATTCCAGTTATGGGAAGGCTGAGGCTCAAGGTTAGTAAGTTCGAGGCCAAACTGGGCAACTTAGGGAGATCCTGTCTCAAAATAAAAAGGGCTAAGGATGTAGTTCGGTGGTAGAGCGCTAGAGTTCAATTCCTAGTGCCTTGGGGCAGGGGTGAGGGTTGGGGGTTGGAGGGGAGGTAGTGATGTAGTTTGGTGGCAGAGTGCTTGCCCAGAATGCTTGAAAGTCTTGGGTTGGATCCTCAGTACCAAAAAAATTTTAAAAAAAGATGGTACAAGTCTGACTTGGAACTTTTTGGTGCAGTCTCTGGAGCTGGGTTTGGTAAGATGCCTTCCCGGTAGGGGGCGCTCCAGGAATGTTTGGTTGATTTAAAGTCGTCTGGCGCCCCTCCCAGGCAATCCTGGAAAGTTGGATCCCCTCAGCTTACCCCCACCCCCATTTTATAGCAAGGGAAATTGGGGCCTTGGCCAGTTCCTGCCCTGGGGGCACCCACAACCTGGCGAGGCCACACTGACCTAACTCGGAATTGGTATTCTCATCCACGTGGTTTTGCTGGGAGCTGCTGGAGCTCAATTCCAAATTCTCTGTCTTGAAGCTGACCTTGTCCCTCAGAGAAAGGGACTCTCCATCGTCCTTCCAGCGGCCCTTCAAAGTGGCCCGCCGGCGAGTTTTGTCGCCTGGGACTGTGACCTCCTCGTAGTATTTGTTGCAGACCTGGGACAGCGGCACGTTCATTTGTGTCTCGGACAGCGAGGCCATGGTCCACATATTCCGAATGTCGGGGTGAGGGCTCAGCTTATCGGAGCCGCGGCGTTGTGAAGACTTGGACGACGCCTGTGGGCCACACACAACGAGGGAAGCCAAGGGTCGCGGGGAGGGAGGGCAGGCTGGGGCGGGGACATTGAGTGGACCCGGTTGGGACTCTGTGGGATGTGGGGATGGGTGGGAGCAGCTCAGAGCCTGGGCTGAGAGTGACACCAGGGGCCTGGATGGGACCTAGGGTGAACTTGGGGGGCTGACGGGTAGGGGTCCGGGAAGAGTTCTTACTTTTAAAGGCCTTTCCTCCATGGTTCAGCCCTAACGGACACTGTCGCCACAGGCCTCAGGGCGGGGAGGAGGGGGTCACGCTCCAGGAGGGGGGAGGGGCAGCGTGTCCTTCCGGAATAGCGGGTCTCGTGCCTGCCGGAGACTTCAGACCACAGCCCTCCACACCAGATGCCCCACCGCTCTCCCATCCCTCCCCACCCATCCCTCTTCCAGGTGCTGAGGTGGGAGACTCCAGCTGGTTTCGGTGGGTTCCCACGCCGGACCCTACCCGGTCTCCTCCAGGAAGGACTGGAGCCGAAGTGCAACCCAATTTGTCCGAAGTGATGGCCCGGGGCCCTCAGCCCGGGGCCACGGGAGGGCAGATGTGCCCCACGGTGGCCCGAGGAAAGCACTGCCACACCCACCCGCATGCCCGAGCGCACGCCCGCGGCGGTGCAGACTGATGTTTATTGATGCAGGCTTTGAGGCACAGTCGTGAGGTGTTGTGAGGGACAGGCCCGGCCAGAGCAGCGAGGCAGAAAGGCTTGGGGGTCTGGAAATGGGTGGAGGTGAGGAAGGGGCCAGGGCGAGAGGTCGCTGACGGCAACCGGTAGCCTCCTCCCAGGCTTCAGTCCCATTGAAAGAGGGCTCTTTGGTCAAACAAGCCAAGCATGCCGGGGACACAGCAGAACGAAGTCCTTTGAGAGGCAGGGGATCCTGCCCCTATACTGGCACGGCTTTGTCTCGGGGACGTCCGGGCCCCCGGGGTCGCGCTGGCTTCCTGGGCGGGTTGGGGCGGCGGCGACCCCGCGGCGCTCGAGGAAGCGCGCAGCCGCGCTCGCTCTGCGTGTCCGAGGACTCGTCGATGAAGGCCAGATTCTCGCTGGGGTAGTCCAGGGCGGAGGCTGTCGGCGTGGAAGGCGTTTGGACCTTCTCCGGGGGTGAAGGGGATTGAGGTTTGAGGACTGGCTGCGCTGGACAGGGCGGTGGGGGCAGGAGTGGCGGCTCCTTCTCTTGCGGTGGTGCAGTGGGCCCGGCTCGCTGGGTCACCCGCGCGGTCACTGTGCCAGTCCAGCTGGCAGCCTGCGCCGTGAGGCCACCCATCTGCGCGGGGAGGAAAAGTAATCCTCGACCAGGGGTCCTTGACCTGCTCTACAACCCCAGGAGCCTGTCCCTTCTCCAACCAGCCATCAGGATGCCTTTTGCCCGGTCCTCCGGACTCAGCAGGTGGAGGATCGGGCTCCTCGCCTAGGCTTCATGCTCTCCCCTCTTGCACAGCCCCAAATCACCTTTTAGAAAACCCCATGTTTATTTCAGAATCCCCTCCAGTACTGGGAGAGCTTTACACCACTGTCCTGCTGGTTGCTCTCAGTAGGGTTGCAAAACACAGGTTAAATGTGTGTGTGTGTGTGTGTGTGTGTTCAGTTGTAGATGGACACAATACCTTTATTTATTTATCTTTATGTGGTGCTGAGGATCGAATCCAGTGCCTCACAGAAGCTAGGCAAGTACTCTACCCGAGTCACAACCCCAGCCCCTTAAATGTATATTTTAGATAAATAGCAAATAAATTTTTAGAATAGTATATCTCTTGCAATTTTTTAGACATATAGTAAAATTTTGTTATTGAACAAATGCCAAGTCCTTACATGTGCTAGGGAAATGGCTCTACCACTGAGGTACTCCCCAGCCTTTCTTATTTCATTTTGAGACAAGGTCTTAGCTAAATCGTCCAGGCTAGTTTCCAACTTGCCGTCTTCCTGCCTCAGCCTCTTCAATAGCCTCCTTAAAACCCATGACTTTCTCCATGTTTATTTGCAGAAATCTGCCAACCCTTTCCATGAGGGCAGAGAGCCAGTAAACTCAAATCTGAGTTTACCGCTCTGCTTCCAGCAGGACACATATGGGGTCTCAGTCTGTGTCTGAAAGCCCTAGTGTGAAGAAACCACACTCTAGAAGGGAGAGAGACTGGCCAACGAGCTACTGGAGTGCAATGCACACTAGTGCTACACCAACCCAAGAGCTCGTACCTCTGCCCGAGTGCGGCGGGACACCACTCGCAACCAGTTTCCGATGGTGGTGAGCACCGAGGCAAAGTAGGCCAGGCCGAGCAAGATCCAGAACCACACCAGCGGCTGGTAGGCTGGAGAGTCCTGTCTGGGGTCGGCGCCTGGAATAGCCCCAGGGAAGAAGGAAAGAAGTTGATTTGAGGGCAAGCCTGTGAGCCCAGGTTCACTGCTGGGCTTCACTGCCTCTGTTCGAAGCTCCTTGAGAGAGCACGCCCTCCCAGGAGAAAGGGGATCTGCTAGAGTGTGTGACTGTGTGCAGGAAGATCAGCGTGTACAAGCTGAAGGCATGCAAGGTAATAGCATGCAAGCAGGGCTGATCTCATGCAAGAACATGATGTGGGCGAGGTACACTATTTGTATGTATGAGGATGCATGGGACCCACACATGCAGGGATGTCAATGTGCATGTTAATGTGTCGCATGAGTGGAAGACTGTGATGGTGCATTCCTGATGGATTTAGGAGTAGAAGCAAACGTGCCTCCTGGAATTCAGAGAGGGGAGAGTGCAGAGCTCTTTGACAAGAAGAAAGCGGATAGGGAAAGGCAGCCTCACCGGCCACATAATCACCGAAGCCCACGGTGGTGAGCGTCACTATGACAAAGTAGATGGCCTCCAGCTTGCTCCAGTCCTCCATATAGCAGAACACGAATGTGGGCGTGAGGACAAAGAGCAGGCAGCCGATCAGCAGGAAGAGCATCGCAGAGAGCACTCGCACCAGCTCTGGTGGCACATGCCACTTCTGCAGGGAGGGGCGGTAGGCAGGACCACAGAGACACCAACAACCTCTACACCCATCCCCCCGCCCCAGCCCCAGGAGCTTGTGCCATCTGAGGGTGTGTGCTCCCGGGCAGGTACCTAAGGAAGGCAATCCCAGCTCAGCATGAGGGTAGGAAGGATGTGGAGTAGCTCACCAGGAAGATTGCTTCGATGTGACCGATGCCATGGCGCAAGGAGGAGCCCAGTCGATCCCCGACCCCTGCCAGCAAGATCCCAAACAACGGGATCCCCACCAGCGCATAGAAGATGCAGAAGAGGCGCCCAGCATCTGTGCGCAGGGCTGCATTGCCGTAGCCTGGGCAGAGAGGCGGTGCAAGGAGTCTAGGCGCTGCCACGGGACCCTCTGCCTCTCCCTGCATCTTCCCCCGTAAGGAAATTCCTTGCCCCTGCCCCCCTCCACATGCTGCATCTCCTCCCCCACCGATGGTGGTGATGATGGTCCCCGAGAAAAAGAAGGCGCTGCCCAGGTTCCATGCTGAGTGGCTGCTGTTACTGGTCGAGTTGGTGTCTGGGTCTGCACCCCCTCCCAGGGCATTAGCCACATCCTGCAGGACAAGGCACAGAAGGAGGAACCTCAGTCCTTCCTTCCTATCTGGGCCGATTCCCTGCACCACCAGCCTTTAGGGTGTTATCCCCCACCACACCTCTCCCCTTCCCTCTCATCTCCTTGAATATGGTCCCTTACAGCCAAGGATGCAAATTGGGTAGCTAATCTACCTGCAGGCAAGTCTGTGGGACCTCCACAATGTTTCAGGAACATTCAAGTCACCAGACCCCTAGTTTCAAACAATAGATTGCTAATTTTACAGTCAGGAATAGAAACCTCAGGACCAGACTCCCTGGGTTCAAATCTTGGTGCTGTGCAACCTTGGGCAAGTTGACCCTCTGTGCCTCCATTTCTGCATCTATCAACTGGTGATGATTGCAGTACCAACCTTACAGATTTGTCCCCAAGAGTTAAAGCACTTAGAACAGAGTGAGCCTGGTGTATTTGTTGGATAACTTCCCATGTGGCAATCTCATCCTGTGATTTCCAGATTTCCACAGACCCCACCACTCCCACTGCCCCCATGGAGACTCAGTTTGAGTCCCTTGCCTTAGATAATTAAAGAAAGTTAGGGACTTTCCCTCCAAAAATGTTCTTATACTGGCAAATTTTGCTTCCAATATTAGGATGTTCACACATGCACACCACACAGAAGTTATATACTAGGTGCTCAATAAATATTAGAGAATGAATGAAGTGTCCATTTGTCTGCCCCTCTTGCTAGCCTGCAGATTCGCTGGATAGGGTCTGTGTTCTGAGAGTGCTTGCCCTAGATGATGGGAGGTCAGAGCATAAGGAGGTAGCTGTGTAGAGGGACCTTCCCCAGAGGAGCACAAGGGCAGTGTCTGGCATATGCCATCTCTTTTCTCCCTGACTACAGTTCTCATTAGCAAGACCCCTTCCAAATTCATCTTACTAAAGTAACAGCTTCTGTTAGAATAAAGCCTAGACTCTCCAGATCAGCACACAAACCCCTTTCCAAGCTGGTCCCAATCACCTCTTTCCCCAGTCTTCTCTCCTGGGACTCTGATTTGTCACCCCACGTTACAGCAGCCTTCCCCCCAGATTATCTAAGATGATTCCATTTCCTTTAATGATGATTTTAAAATAAAAGCAAGAGGTGAAATACTAATTAAAAGTGATTTAACTTTTATTTTGCAACACTTTTCCAATAAATTCACCACTTAGGGGGAAAAAGTCCTTCGTCATCCTGTGTTCTAATTTCTACTTCAAATGACTAGGCATCTGCTAACTTCAGGTTCTGCAAAACACTCCAGAGCTTTCCAGCTTCCACGCCCTTACCCATGCTGTTCAACTGGGAGTGATTTGTCCGCAGTCCCTAAACTCTATCCCTCTCACCTGGCTCTGTTTATGTGCCAGCTATCCCCAAGGCCCCTGAATCTCTCTTCTCACCCCCTTGCACCCAGCCCAGATGAGTGCTTAAAAAAGGAGAGGAAACTCCATTTCCATGCACTGTACAGTGACCGGTCTGTCCTTGGACCTCTCTCCTCACCTAGATGTGGCCTTTTCCAAGGCAGAGTCTGCATATGCTCCACCCCCAGATCCACTCTCCTGCCCAACACAACCCATACTAGCACCCAGTAGGTGTCCAATTGCTGCACAACTGACTAATTCAGAGAGTTAACTCTTATGGTGGAAAAGAAGTAAAGCAGTTGCCACCACCCTCCCTTCTAGGTCCTGCCCCTCCTTTTCTTCTTTCTTACCCAGGAAAAAAGCAGTTCCATTGTGCAAATAAAATAGGTCAGATTCCCTCCCTCCCTCTGCCCTGTGGTCTGGCCAGACACACTCTCTGTGCCCAGGCCTCTCAGCCTTGTCCTGCTTTCTGGAAGTGTCAAAGGCATGTCAGGCCACCTGGGTCCTGGCTGGCCCCTCCCCCCCCATCTCTACCCGGTTCCTGCCACCTTGGGAATGTGCTGGAATGCTGAGGCTCCCCAACAGAAGCCCCTCCCTCAACAAAGAACAGGCAGGGAACAGGGGTGCTCATCAGTAAAGTAATAATTATTAATTTATTAAAGTTAAATCATAGATTGTCATATGACAGTGACTCAGAAATCAGAGAAAGGAGCAGAGCTCATCAACTGAACCCAGAAAGCTGAAGCTCAGAGCTTTCCTTAATGATGGAGGTTGACCAAAAGTGCCTCAGGGAATCTGAGCTCTGGCCCCACCCACTTGTCCGCTATGGTAAGCCTGTGTCTTGGGGGAAGGGGTCCCTAACCCCTCTCCCCAGTGCCAGAACAGGAATACTCCAGAATCATCTGTGTATGCTTCTATGCACACTTGGGGGGTGGAGAGAAGTGTTCACAGTGTTCTTGGGCTTCTCTAAGGCATCTGTGACTCCAAAAATGTATAGAAGCCAGTGGAGGAGGGTTGCCAGCTTTAGGAAGTAAAAATATTACATGGGACATACTTATATTAAAATGGCATTGGTTGTTTAGCTGAAATTCACATGGAACTGGGCCTGTTGGATTTTAACTGGCAACCTGAATGGGATGAATTGACCAGAGCAAAAGTAACATCCCATGTGCTCCAGCCATTTATTCATTCATTTTTCCTTCATTCAATTACCCACGAACACTCAAGAAGACATTCCAGGAGCACAGCAAGGTGCCAAGCACCACCAGCAAAACAAAGGACCCGGTGGCCGCCATATTGAAAACCGAGATCTGGATCCCAGTCTCTGCCAAGCACCCCCCACCCCAGCTGTACCCAGTCTTTAGGGGTACGCATCTGGAAGCAGCACCCCAGCACAGGGACCTAGTGGGGGTCTGTTGAAGGGGCCCTGGCCCCCCCACGCACCTTGATGAAGTCCCCCAGCTCGTGCTCATTCACACATGGATGGGCCCTCAGGAACTTCTCTCGGACCTCCCCCAGGTCCCTCTGGGCCTGCTGCTCGTGCGGCTGCTCCAGGGCCCGGAACACCAGAGCACCCGACACCAAGTAGAGCAGGACCAATGCCAGCAGTGCCAGTAGTGTGGTGCTGCGCATGGCACGTCCAGGGGCAGTGCCAGCTCCGCCGCCCGCCTGGGGAGGTGGGGCAGAGGGCTCCTGGGGAGCGGCGGTCACTGCGGGCAGAACCAGGGATGCCAGGGTCAATAAACTGGCCTGATAACCCACACCCTCCTTCTTGATCCTCTACATACCCAAGGTCCTCAAAACCTCCAGCCTTTCTATACATGGCTGTACCCCTCACATCCGTCTAGTAGGAAGGAACACCCAGCCCTCCCACCTCCACCCTCCCTCTTACCTCCACTGCCTGGCCCTCAGCCCCTGTCCAGGGGCTCCAGGGTGTGAGAAAAGGAGGGCATCAGGAAGGGAGAAGGTAGGAGAGACAGCCTGCCTCGGGAGAGGCTGGGTGATGAGGAATGCCGAGGGCCTGGGGTGTGGGCGTAGGGAAACCGGCTTTCCCAGGAAGGCAGAGGGGGACGAAGAGAAAGTGGGAGGCGAGGCTGGGTGCGCAGGGCGGGGACGTGGATGGTCCAAGCACGGCTCGCCCGCTGTGGCTGCGGCAGCATCTTCGCGGCGCCTCCCTCTCTTCCCGCCTCTCTTGGCTCCCAGGGTAGCTGCGACGGGCCAGGCAGGGAGCCTCTAGGGTCCCCGCCAGCACCCCTCCGGACTTTCGAGGAACCCAGGGGCGGGTCCCGGCCGCAGCGCAGTGGAGAGGCTGAGAGCCAGGAGAGGGAGGGTTCCCGGAAGGGACCAGGCGCCGGGCGGGAAGGGCCTGACCGATGCAGCAGCCCCCGGACAGCTGACAGCTCCCGGGACAGCAGGAGGCGGCGCCCACACACACACGCACACACTCGCCCTGACTTGCTCCACCACACGCGGGCACAAAGACCCGCGCGCCCACGCTTCACCCTGCGGCTCCAGCCCGCCTCACTGCCCAGGCTGCACGCAGTACTCCGCGGGCACACTCCCGTCGCCCCTGGGCACACTGGACTCCCATGGGAGAGCTCGCCGTGCCTCTGTACCCCAGAAGGTCCACGCACACGTGCGCGCACACACCGACCAGGGCCACCGCGCAGCGCCCTCCACCCCATACGCTGCACTCCCGCAGCTTGCTCCCACCGCCTCCCCCGCGTCCTCCCTCCGGGGGTGTCCACCCGCGTGACGGGCGACGCGCGGAAGCACCCCTCCCGGAGGTGTCCACCCGCCGGAGGTGGGCGTCCAGCGGGCCTGTCACGCGCCCCCTCCGGGCACAGATCCCCAGGAGTCCTCCCTGCATCCCTGCGCCCGCCGCGCACTTACTGTCGGCCCCGCTGCGGCTGCGGCCGGGGCTCCCGCGCCGCCTCGCCGGTGCCGGCTGGGCCGCGGAGGCGGCAGCGGCAGCAGGGGCGGAGCGGGCGGCAGCCGGGGCTGGGACCCCCTCCCTCCCCGACTGAAGCCCCCTCCTCCCGCTTTTAACCCCTCCAGCGCCGCTCCTCTCTTCAGTGCCGCGCCCTAGCCACCGGCGCTCCCCGCCACCACTCTCGCACTAAGCCCTGTACCTGCGGCCGCCTGGCTCCCAGATCTTCGCTAGCCGGCGACAGTGGATGGCAGAAAAACCTGAGAAGGGTCGCTGTGGGTCCAACCCTCTAATCTCAGACAAGAGCCCAGTGTGGCCAGTGGCCGCCCTGGCCTGGGCATCAGTTGGCCCACAGGAACCACGCTAATCTCCTGGCGTCCTCCAAGCCCATTACAGGATTGGGAAGGGCCCTGGTCTATATCCCTGGGGACAGCCTGTCCCTTGGGCTCAGTGGATTTGGCCATGAGGCCACCTGAATTTGGCCAATGATGAGGGTTGGGCCCCAGCTGAGAAGTCACTGGAGTGGGCATTCTCCTACTCCTCTTCTCCTTTCCCCAGCCCTTGGTTTCCAAGGCCTTGCCCAGGAGTCAGCCCCAGGGGCCTAAGCTGCAGGTGCCAGTATTCTCTTCCATCTGTCTGAACAGCCAAGGCCCAGGGGGGTCTTGAACCTTCCCTCACCCTGCTATCACCCACTTCTTTACAACCTCTGGGCTCACCCAAGACCCTCCTCTTGCCTCCTGGGGTCCTCTGCCCTCGTGGTGAGTGATTTTAGACCTGGGCTTTAAGGCCCACTGCCCCCTACTGGTAGGGCCTTGGATAGGTTAGCAAGCTCTCTGGAGTGTCCCTGTTCACACTTACAGAAAAAGGATAATTAATTATCACTTCAGGTGCTGTTCAGGGCATTGGAGAGGTCAGCGTTTATAAATGCTCAAAACAGAGCCTGGCCGCCCAATCAAGTGTCCTAGAAATGTCAGCAACTTTCCTTTCAATGCAAAGTGATTGTCCAACTTCCAGCTAATTCTCTGGTTCTCAGAGGAGCTCTGCAGAGGCCCTGCAGGCCTGGCCCCCAGAACAACCCTAAGCACAAAGTTTCAAGGCAAGCTAGTGCTAGACCCTGGGGATTCTCAGGAGCTGGAACCCTCAAGAATCAGACCTCTAATAACTCCCAGCTACCAGACAGATCTGCCAGGGAGGCAGGAACAGAGCAGGGATTATGCTATTAGGGCAGCCAGAGAAGGGGATCCTCCAGGCAGCCCACCCATGTTGGCAAACTCACACCTCATTGGGAGCCAGATACTGTTCTATCCCACATCAACACCTTCTCTGTCAGTCCTCGTTGAGCCCTGGCACCTGAAGGCTAGGTTAGGAGTGGTGAGAGAGAAACCAACCAGGCCTCCACAAGCCCCATCACTTTGATGCACCAGTCACATAACCACAGTGCAGTGGGGCTCAGGAGAAGGGCTTTAGTTGCTGACCAGAAGATGGAAGGCTTCAGCTTCATAAAATATGCGATTTGGGGGAGGGCAGTGCAGGTGACTGAACCCAGGGTCTTGTGCATGCTAGGCCAGTGCTCTTCCACTGAACTACAGCCCCAGCCCCAGGGAGATGTTGTGGGCTGGGCATGGTGGCACACAACACAGGTAGTCTCAGCTACCTGCGATGAGGCTGAGGCCAGAGAATTGCTTGAGTCCAGGAGTTCAGAGCCAGCCTGGACAATATAGTGAGAGCCCATTTTAAAAAAGGAAAAAAAAAAAGTAAGACATGCCTGTAATCCCAGCTACCTGGAAGGCTGAGGCAGGAGGATCACAAGTTCAAGGCCAGATTGGGCAACTTAACAAAACCCTATCTCAAAATAAAATAAAAAGGGATGGAGATGTAGTTCAGTGGTAGAGCACCCCAGGGTTCAATTCTCAGAACCACGGGGGCGGGGGAATCTTGAGGAAGATATTACAAAAGAGAAGAAATTGTTAGGAATGGGAGGAACCTACCTCAGAAGAGCTTCTAGAACCAAAGCATGTGCAGCCTCCCCTTGATGGCTGCAGATCCCTCCCTCTCTGTGCCCTCCAGCCTTGGTGATGTGAATAGCCCTGTCTAGCCCGGCAGCCCACTTTAAGGGCCAGAGTCTGATCAGCTTGTGACCGCACAGGCAAAGGTGAGAACAACCCAAAACATAGATGCAACAGGTGAACGGAAGAGGGGCACAGACACTTTATTGAGTGGCAGGCACAGGAGAGGTAGCTGGCTCCAATGTGGAAGCGGAGGTGGCAGGTCATGCCAGGGCGCTGTAGGCATCTGGCAGCTAGGGCCGTGCCCTCCCATCCTAGGGGCAACGGCACTAGCTCACTACGACAGGAGCAGCAAGGAGCCGGCCAGAGGGGGTGCCTGTCATGGCCCCCGGGATCCTGGGCAAGAAGCGGCAGATAAACGTGGCACAGGGGCCTAAGGTGAGGGGGACTGGGGTCTGAGTGCTCTGGGGGGGAGCACAAGGGGGGGTCACGTCTGTGGGGTCGAGTAGAGACTGTGGTGATGGCCACCTGGTCCTGGCACCTGGGAGAAGAGCAGAGGAGTGGTCCTCGTCTGGCTGCCCCCACACCAGCCTGGCTCACGCCCGATAGCGCCGTACCAGCTGCCAGAGCCTAGGCTGCCCGACATGCTGCAGGCAGAGAAGCAGGGTCAGTCCCAGGGCAGTGACCAGAGCCACATTCACGAGAATGGCAGGGGAAGAGAGGCTCAGAGTCCCTACAACCCACCCCCCCTGGGTCCAGGGTAAACTGCATCCAGGGACGGAGGTGGAGGACTTAGCACTAGGAACCCAGAGGGGGCCTCACCTAAAACAGATGGGGAAACAACGGCTAGATGTGAGGTGGGGGCTGGGGGGACATGGCTCTCCAATCCTACTGCTGATGGAGCAGGCCAGGAGCCAGGAAGGACTCCTACCTGGTGCTCTCCCCCCGGCTATGCTCCCAGGAGCAGGCCTCGTCCTCACAGTGCCCAGCTCGGTCGAAGAAGTAGGAACGGGAGCCAAAGACCTGCCCATTGAGGATGCGGCTGGTGCTCTGTGGGGGGGGGGGGGAGTCACTGTCGTCAGTGCTTTCTCCTGTCCCCCACAGGTGTCCCTGGACACCTGCCCAGGATTCCCAGGGTCCACTCTTTTCCACTAGCCCCATCGAGGGGAATGGAGACCCTCACCAGGTCCTGCGGGGGCCGATGCACACGGAAGAAGCCCACTAGCAGGGTGGTGGGCAGGAGCTCCCACACGAAGAGGATGAGGCCAAACACCAGGTAGCCCTTGTTCCCCAGGTCATTTACCAGATCCGCCTGTGGGAAGGCAGGAGCTTGTGCCAGTCTGCAATCCCACTCGAGTAGCACCATGACAGAGCAAGGCCAGCTTGAGAGCAGGTGCCACAGCTGGTAAACGGCCTAACACTCACCTGATCAGAAACATTGTACCAGTCGTAATCGAAGGCATCCAGCCGGCTCCGGGGCGCCAAGGCCAGGGCTGCCAGGTTGTAGCAGGCCCGGCTGGCATACAGCAGGACCATGGCACCACCCATTGCAGCCGCCTGGCACACACTGGTCCCCTGGCACGGACGACAACAGAGGATCCTCAGGGAGAGGAGGCTCCCAACTTCCTCTGTACCCTGATGACCACTGCCCAAAGATCCCCAAGGATACCTGTGCATCAGGACTTGTGGCCCTACCTTGGCCTCCAGGTAGATGCTAGTGGAAGGGGCCCGCCGGGCAACCAGGCAGAGACAGGCAGCAAGAGAGAGGGCGCAGATGACAAAGAGGGAGTCGCTCACCAGGACGCGCACCAGCAGTAGGGCCCAGGGCTGTGCCCGTCGCCGGCGGGACAGCACTGCACACAGCACGTTCACCAACAGAAAGAGCAGCGAGGCCCCCACGAAAGCCCCTCGGACGGCCAGCCTGCAGCCCACAGCACAGTCAGCCTCAGACCATGGACTGCCCTTGGCATTCACCAACCACACTACCGCCCTCAGGAGACCCCAGTGCCTGTCAGAATTCAGATCATCCAGGCTGAAACCTGCTCTTCCAGTTTTACAGATTGGGAAACTGAGGCCCAAAGAGGTCAGAAGGTGAGGGATAGCTGTGGCATCTTGCAAAGAAACACCAGACTGGAAGTCAGAAGTCTAGATCTGAGCTCTGGCTCTGCTTCCTGCCAGCTCTGTGACCTTGAACACGCTCCTTTATCTGGCTGGGCCTCAGTTTCCTCAAGTTGCAAATAAAGATAAGAACTTCTCAGGTAAGTTGTTAAAAGAAAGATGTTTGTAAAAGTTCTTTATGAACTGGAAGACAATGTGCAGTGACAGGGGTACTGCAGCCCAAGGTCACCCAGAAGTGCACTTGGGCTTTGTGATTTCCATGGGTTGGAGCCTCCAGCTCTTTCTCCATCATGGATGACACTGGTGTCCTTTCCCCTCACAGTATACAACTGTTTCTATTACTGTCGACCCTCACCTATGCAAGCCTCTGCTGAGCCATCTGTGCCAGGTGCTTTAGCTTTTCCAAGCTCTTTCACAAACATTCCCCTGTTCTTGCCTAAGCCCTGAAAAGTAGGCTTCTCCCTGCCCCCGACCTGGGGCTGAGCCCACCAGTGCCCCAATACTTACAAGCCTCGGCTCATCTCTGGCCGACGCTTCGCCTTGGCCTTGAACACCACCTGAGAGCAGAGATGCCCATCACTCCTTTGGGCTCTTGAGTCTTGCCCCCCTCATCCCCCACCCCTTACCACAATTACCTGGGCAAAGTAGAGGTTCATGAGCGTCAGTGTGAAGAACTGCAGGCAGACAGGACAGCAGTAGAGAAGCCAAAAGGGCAAGGGCCCCAGGCGATTGGCTCGGGGCGTGTCACGGAAGTAGAAGGAGAAGAGGGTAGTACGTAGGGCGGCCCAGAGAAGACAGAGTGCCAGGAACACCGTCTGATAGCTGAGACGCTTGTGCCCATACAGAAGCACCAGCCAGAGCTGGGCATAGACAGAGAAGAAGAGCAGGGCATACAGGGTAGTGTAGGCCGCGGTCAGCCCCAGGGTCACAGTAGGCGGCAGGGCAGGAACCAGCCCGGCAGCAGGTACCAGGCCAGACAGGTTACTCTCCATGTCAGGGAAGGAGGCCTGAATCCCAGAGAAAGAGATGGAGGACTGGCAAGGGGGCAGGGAAATAAATACGGAGGGTGCAGTGACAGAGATGGGAACTCAAAAGGATAGAAGTTGTGGCTGGCCAGGGCCTTCCTCCTCAACAGAAAGACCCTTGCCTTGGGAGACACAGGCAACCTGGGCCCCTGGCTCTGGGATGTGGAAGGGCAGTCCTCTCCTGGGCAAAGGAGGTGGGGGGTTGGGGTGTCTCTCCCTGGGCTGGCCTCAGAGCCAGGGGGATGCGGGGATACAGAGGCTGAAGGAGAGGAGTCCCTGGCTCTGGTCGCTCAAGTCGGCCTGGCAGGAGGGGGAGAGCCGGCCGATACCGGTCAGCTTAGAGCAGCGATCGCTGCGGGGGCGCCCAACGCCCGGCTCTCCCCATCCCCAAGCTTGGGGGCTCTCTGTCCTCCAATAATCCGTATGGGGGCTTCTTTCTCTGTCCTTGAGAATGCAGCCGTTCTCCCCCGCCCACCGCCTCCACCCTCCAGCCTCGGGGGGCAGGAAAGGCCGATGCCCAATCCTCAGGCCGCGGCTGGGGGAGCGGGCTCCGGTCGCCGGGACCCGGGGCTCCAGCTCCCCGGCTCCCGCTGCTCCGCCCCCTCCTGCGCCTGCGCGGGCATCGTTCGCTACGCAAATTGCGCAGAGGCCCGCCCTGGCTCCGCAGCCCGGCGCCGCGCCCGGCGTGGAGCCTTTCGAGAATCGGCGCCGGCTGCGCCACCAACGGGCGCCCGGGGTTACGGGAGCCGGCAAGCGGCTGAGACGCGGAGGCACCGCCGCATCCAACGTGCGCCAGGATGGGCCGTGCCTTGGGCTGCCGGCCCTTGCTTCTTTGGAACACCGCCCGTTCCCACGCTTAAATTCCCTATCCTCAAACTAGGATCACGCCGCCCGGCTGGGGGCGACAACCACTTCCCCTCACTGAGTCTCTGAAGGAAACTTCCGCCCATAGCCAAGATGGCCCCCGGCCCCGCCCCCCGAGCCCGGACCCGCGGACTCCGGACGCCCCCGGCGGGCCCGCAAGCCCCGGGCACCGGCCCGCTCACCTGGCCGGCCGCCTGCACGCTGCCTGCCAGCCGCAGAGCTCCGAGAGCCCCACGGCTCGCTCTCACAGGGGCCCCCGTCGCTTCTCCCGCGCCCGGGCATTCATCCTGCCAGAGAGGAGGCGCCCTCTCTTATCTTTAAGTGCTCCCGAGATGGCGCTGGGAGGGGTCCCAGATGTGGGCAGCGCGAGGAGGAGGAGAGAGTGGGACTTCCCGACCGGTCACCCGGTCCAGGCGAAGCAATAACAGCAGCAATAATTACATCCGACGGCTGAGCGTCAATTACGGCTTTACAAAGTGCTTTCACCCACAGTAATCACCACTCTGTTTACAAAATTTTCACCGGCCCCCGAGGGAGGTGTCATTATCTCCATTTTACACGGGGGAAATTAAGGCCCTGAGGGGCTGAAGGATTCGTCCGCAGAAGCGGGCCTCCAGGTTCCAAATGGGGATCCCAGAAAAAGCCTTCATCGCTTCCGCGCACGCTCCAGGCGCGAGGAAGTAAAGGCGACAGGAGAGGAAGGAGGGACCGGGAAGGAAGGCGGTAGGACCCGCAGGTCGGCGGCGAGGGTGGCACCCGGCCTGGAGTGGCCCCGCCTCCGGGCCAACCCGCGATTCATTCCGAGAGCTGATTGGACTAGGTCGGTGACAGTTCCCGTTACCCAGGAAACCTGGGCCGGGCGCTTTCAGTACTAGAGGGAGGCGGCGGGCCCGGGTCAGGGGCCTTGAGAACGGGCTTGGGGTGAGACCTGTGTGCCAAACCACCGGCAGGGCGGGGAGGGGAGGGGCGGGGCCTAGGTAGGGGTTTGGGGCTGCTCCCGAGCACCTGGGCCCCGAGGGGAGATTTAGGTCCTGGGCAACTCCCTGAGCTCCCTGCCCGACCAGATGCAGTAGATAGATGAGGGCCTGGAAGGACCGGCGGGCCTAAATGAGCTAAGGTATTAGAGGGAGAAAGGGACACCTGTCCCTTGTCTCCCACCGCCGCCGTTTCCTCAGTTTTGCACCCTGACTACCTGTCATCTTGTCCTCGCAGCCCAGAGCATGTTCCAGATCCCAGAGTTTGAGCCCAGTGAGCAGGAAGACTCCAGCTCCGCAGAAGGGGGCCTGGGCCCCAGCCCCGCAGGGGACCGGCCAGGCCCCTACAAGAATCAACCACCAGGCTGCGGCTTGGCTCCAGGCCTCCCCAGGGACACCGGTCACCAGCAGCGGCAGGCAACCAGCTGCAGCAACCATGGAGGTAGGTTCCCCACCACTGACACCACCTGCCTATCCACTTTGCCTTCAGCCCAGTCACTCCCTACACTCCAGCTGCACTACTCACTGAAAGCTTTGAGGGGAGTTCCTAACTTCTCTGAGCCTCGGTTTCCTCTTCTGCAAGCCAAACAATCACCACCACTTTGTAGTACTATTGAGTTAATTGGCAGGAATGGGCAGAAGGCATTGATTATAGAGATGGTGCGTAATAAATGCTCAAAAAGGGCATCTGTTGTTATGGGACCAGGAACAGAAATCGGTGAAAGGCAGGCAGTGATCCAGAAAGGGAAGTGACTCTCCTAAGGTCACTCGTGCTTGGTATTAACTAAATAGGAGGTGGGTTGGAAGACTACTTGATGCTTGCCACAGGGTGCCACCTTTCCCTGGGATAGAGCCTTCCACCAGGCAGGTGTGTGCTTTTCCACCCTGAGGCTCACCCATAGGGAACTGCCCTTGTACCAGGGAAGGGCAGTTGATCCCCAAGTGGAAGACAGCCCTCCCAGGCTATGTGACTGGTGTGGGAGTTGGGAAACACTGGGGTCATATGGAAGGATGGGCACAGGAGGGCCTGGGCATTTCTCAGTAGCCTGCATCTCCCTGGTGCCTGGCACTGGGCTGGCACCTGGAACAGAGAGGTCTTGTGAAAGCCAAGTCCGTTCTGGCTGCTGGGGTGCCTCAGTGAGCGGGAAGCAGTCCTTGCCCTGTGGAGCTTACGCACTCTTCTGAGGTGGGGGAGATAGGCTGGAAACACGGAATGCATTAGAAGATGGTGTGTGCTGGGGTCGGAGCACAAAAGAGAGTACAGAGAAGCACAGTCCTGGGGGCTGGCAGAGTCACTGGGGTGGATCTTGGGAAGAAGCCACATGGTGGCCTGGCTGGAGGAGGCTATGGGTGAGCCATTCCGATGTCTGTGGGAAGACCTTTCCAGATACAGGGAAGAGCAGATGGGGAGGCCCAGGTGCCAAGACTGCCTCAAGCTAGTATGCCTCCCAGGGGAGGGAGGTGGGGAAGGGTAGTTGAGGCCCCACTCAGTCTGTGGGGACTTTGAGTGAAAAAAAATTTTTTTTTTTTTTTGGTAATAGGGATTGAACTCAGGGGCACTTGACCACTGAGCCACATCCCCAGCCCTATTTTATATTTTATTTAGAGACAGGGTCTCACTGAGTTGCTTAGGGCCTTGATTTTGCTGAGGCTGGCTTTGAACTCTTGATCCTCCTGCCTCAGCCTCCCAAGCTGCTGGGATGACAGGCTGGCACACAGCTTTTTAAAAATTCTGTTGGTGCTGGGATTGAGCCCAAGGACACTTTGCCATTGAGATATATCTCCAGCTCTTCTTATTTTTTTATTTTGAGACAAGCTGGCCTGAACTTGGGATCATCCTACCTCAGCCTCTCAAATTGCTGGGATTAAAGGTGTGTGCCACCACGCTCAGCTATAATATTTTTTTAGTTGTCACTGGGCCTTTATTGTTCTTTATATATATGCCTTGCTGAGAATCGAACTCAGTGACTTATACATGCTAGGAAAGTGCTCTACCACTGAGCTAGAGTTCCAGCCCCCTATATTTTACTTATTTTTTTTATTTTTTGTAAAACTCATTTTTTAGTTATAGGTGCATATAATGTATTTTTATGTGGTGCTGAGGATCGAACCTAGTGCCTCACACATGGTAGGCGAGCCCTCTACCACTGAGCCATAGCCCAGCCCTGGCCTTGAACTTTTGATCCTCCTGCCTCAGCCTTCTGAGGAGCTGGGATTGCAGGCTAGTGACACCACACCCAGTTTAAATGTTTGTTTGATTTAATAATCAGTGTCTTAAAAGCAAGTGATTTCCAAAAAAAGATCATAAGGACCAGTGGCCTGCCTGTACTGTGTGGCCTGGAACCTTCTACCTGGGCAGGGCAGCTCACATTGGATCTCTTTGCCCTTCTATTTCCTGCCATTGGGCTCCTGCTGGATTGTTAAATGGGAGTTTAGGTGGCCTCCCTTGCAGGAAGGACCTGATGCTTGCTTACCAACAGTGCGTAGGGGAAGGTGCAGAAGCACTTGCTGTCCTGTGTCTCCATGGCCTTCAATAAAAACCTTCAATAGGACCCACTGGAGGTTTAAAGTGAAGATGGCTGAAGTTGGGCTTACAGCAGGGGCTGGCAGACCACAGCCTCTGGTAAATCTCTGTGTCTAAGAATGGGCCGTGAAGAGTTTAAAGCTGGAGGTGCAGTTGCTGGGCCTGGGGCACCTGGGAATGTCCAGGGCTCAAATGGTCCTCATACCTCAGCCTCCCAAGTATCTGGGTATTTGAGAACGAATCTTGCTAAATGTGGCTGAGGCTGGCTTGGACCTTACTATCCTCCCCTCAGCCTCTCAGTTGCCAGGATTACAGCCTGTGGCACTGCATCTAGCGATTTTTCACTTTTTAAAATAGTGGACAAAAATCTAGAGAACAGTATTTTTAACAGGGGAAATTACATAGAATTCAGTTTTCAGTGTCCCGAATAAAGCTGTAGTGGAACCCAGCAATGTACCGTCAGCTCCGTATGGCTGTGGCTTCTTCCAAGCTGTGAGCGTAAAGTTGAATAATTGTCCCAGAGACTGTGGCCACCAAACCTGAACTATTTGCTTCCTAGCTCTTGACAGAAAATATTAACCATCCCCCATCTTAGAGCTTTCTGATTTCATCCCCTCTGACAGAGTGGGGGCCTGCTGTCTCAGCCCACAGGGGCTACAGGATGCTGATGGCTTGTGAGGCCACTGGTCAGGGTGGGACAGAGCACTGGGGCCGCAACCTCTGCCTCCTAGGGCAGGGTAGTAGGGCTTGCGAGGCCTAGCATCCTAAAGATGGGATCTAGGCCTGGCCCTGCCTAGTGGGGAAGCGTCACAGCTTCTAAGTACCTGAACTGCACTGTTTTTATGAGGGTGCCTGTGGCAGCGGGAAGGTGGAAGTATTGGGCCCCACCTGCTGCCCAGAAGCCTGGGGGGTAAGTCAGAGCTTACAGCTGGAGGTGAGTTGCTAGACCACAGTCCCTTCCCACCCCCTATCCCGCCTCAGGCTAAACTCCAGGTGGATGGCCTGAGTGGGCAGGACTGGGTATCCACCCAGGCTCTAGCACTCCCTTCCCCTAGAGGGGAAATTGGCTTAGGCACACCTGACCTCTTTCCCTAGGGAGTTCACAGAAAATCTTCTGGATCCACCCCCCTGCCCCAGTAAACAGATACTTTTGGTTTTCCCAACTAAGTATGGTGAGGCATACCTATCATCCCACCTCCTCAGGAGGCTGAGGCA